GCAATGCAACAAGGCCTTTCATCAGGCAAGATGAATGCTTAATGTAAAATGACTACTTTCCTATATCGGTTTACAAGGATGTCGCTAACTGCATGCAAAATATCTGAATATAGAAAAGCTATGAACGGGCAAAATATGATAATATTTTGTATCGGTAGTTATACCCAATCAGTTGATTCTACGTTATGTGTATATTTTACTTCCTTTTAGAACTCATATAAGTTCTAATCTAAAACAAAACTGCTATTATCAAAGAAGTTTAAAAATGAATGTTGTTAAATGTGCTGTTAAACGTAAGATAATTCATCAAAGTGTTTTATTACAATCAATTTGCTCTAAAAAAATAATAACTCGCACCTATTACTTAGAAAGGGATCGGTTGAAATGGGAGGTCCTCTGGTGACTTTTCCAATAAGTACAAAACATAGGTGTAATCTTTTAGTGCAGTGCAATAACTTATCAGAACTTCGTTAGCGATGTTACTATATCTAACCTTCTCGATCTTGAATCATTATGAATCATACAAATACAGATGGCTTTACATAACTTTATGCATTATACATTTTGATGCTTATTCTCTCTGTCATTAAAACTGAGCTAGTTCGTTCCTAAGTTTCTACGGGAAAAATAATTTGTCAGTTGGCCAAGAATGTTATGCTTCACTTTTATTCGAACTGAATTCTAATTAGTTTGTTGAAAGTTAGCTCCTAGTTATAGCTTGTGAAGGGTGTTCATCTCACCACGTAGAGCCATCTAGTTTTTATCTAGTCTCGGCATGGCCAGGTGGTTAGGGAGCGTGACTCGTAATCTGAGGGTCGCGGGTTCGAATCCCCGTCCCACCAAACATGCTCGCCCTTTCAGCCGTGGGGGCGTTATAATGCGACAGTCAATCCCACTATTCGTTGACAAAAGAGAAGCCCAAGAGTTGGCGATGGGTGGAGATGACTAGCTGCTTTCCCTCTAATATTTCACTGCTAACTTAGGGACGGCTAGCGCAGATAGCTCTCGTGTAGCTTTGTGCGAAATTCAAAACAAACCAAACAAACAAAGCATGTCATACTGATTACATACTATATACCAAGCTGTAAGTACTTCACCGATATTTCACGATCCAGTCTGGGATAATTCTATAAATTTCGATTAGAAATCTATATGGCACTCTAAAGTCGAAAGGATAATCTCTGATTATAAAACTAAACTAATTGAATGAATTCACTTTTGTCAAATATTAATAATTGTTGAAAACATATCGGAAGGTAAGATCAAAGTTATTGTGGGTTTATTAGTCACGTTATATTTTAAGGTATTTAAATTAAGTGTTAAATTTAGGCATTATGACAGAAATGAAATTCATAATTCTGAAACCGTTTAACTAAAAAAAAAAAGCAAGGCCATAATAGCTGTTTTATCGTCTTATCGTCCGTAACATTTCAAAGAGCCTACAAAGTGCAAGTAGAAAGCATTAGCTATGGAGTAATATTTTACCTGTTGTATGTTTTTATTAACGTCAAACTACAAAATGAGTTATCAGCGCTCTGTGCACCGCAGGAAATCGGCCCCCCGGATTCTAGTATTGTACGTTAAGTCTCTAAACTTAGCGCTATAACTCACCGGGGGACCTCGTAGAAAAGTTAAGTGTAACTCTCTTCTCCAATAACAATAATATAATAATTTGGGGGTAATTATTCAAATGAAAGTCATTATATAATACATTAAGAAAACCGTTTCAAAAAGCAACGATTAGATACAACCGAACATTTAAGGAAAGGTTAGTATAGGTCTAAAACTGATGGTTCGTGTAACAAAGTTTACGTTAGTTAACCTTATACCACTGTCAATATTTATAACTTCATTTTACAGTAATTATTAAATATTAGTCTTGTTTAATTATTGCTGCTAGTAGGTTGTGAGCACCAAAATCTATATTGAATTGGATTGCACATTGGCTAGTGTCAGATCAAATACTGAAGCCATATTGTTCGTTCCTAAATTGTCGAGTGTAAACGCATTAACGACAAGAGTATCCAAGTGATGGTTGAATGCTTTGTAATCATTTCACCCTCTCAGTTTTGGTAACTCTTGTAACTCCAGAAAGTACATTGGATGTTTTTATTTATAAACTCAGTTCTTTTAACATTTAGAAGTGGTAACTTCGACCATCACAAAAAATTACTACAACTGTAGTCTTAACATACTCTCACAAGTTTATTCGTTCTTGTCCTGTCATTAATAAAGAAATAGCCAATAGGCACCTTATAGATGCGGTTTAGAGAAATAACCACAAACACCAATACATTGCTGGGAAGGAAAACTGTATCACTTTCTGTATCTACACCAACATCAACATAGCCAAGAAATGTTTTCCATCCCACTCCAGATGTTTTCTTATAGCCATTTCATCTAGCACTAAAGTACAAACAACTTTACTGGTTCCTTCTTTTTGTAATGCATTAAATACTTGTTTTTTTAAGCCTGATGTCCAGTTAATGCCTTGATACACCACTGTCGAATAACAAATGAATGTGGTAGAGTAATAGTGAAAGTACCTCTTACAAAGTTGAAGGCTTTGGTGGAGTAAAACTGCAGTATCCAAGTAAAATGACGGCTCTTTTGGTGTGAAAACTAATATTTTTCCTAGCCATGTTCAAATGATCAACTGTTTCGTCTATTTTCCTTTTTATTGTTGGAAGATTATCTCTCACATGGTAGATAGGCTCTAGAAGTAGATGATCTTTAGCATTGCTCTGTACAGATGTTGTGCTTGAAATAACTGGATCTAGAGTAACATTGCCAGGTGTGCTTGAATTGATGTACTTTCGTACTGGTGTTTTCTTTTTAGCAACCTGTAAGTAAATTGCAACATATGGTTGAGTAAATAATTTACTCAACCATATGTTGCAATTTACTTACAGGTTGAGTAAATAATTTGAGAAACCCATTTATATTTTCTCCCATTTTAATAAGCACTTCAATACATGGACAACCTGCTTTATTGTTTCTAATTATTGTAATTATTATCATATTTCTTATTAACTTCTACAGGAATGCTATTGTGCCACTCAAGAAAAAAATATGGTCTGTCTGTATAGACAAACATAGCAATGAGCATCATTGTTTTGGCTTACATATCAAAACTGTTTAGTAAGTTTCAAATATATTCTCAATGATTTCACAGAGATATTACGTTTTTACCAGATACTAGAATAGATTACCATGGTTACTTAATTTCAAGTATACCAACAATTTTCTCATTAGTAGCTTCTTGACAGTACAAGTACTGTAGATTTATATGTGATGTCAATTTATTTGATTTACTTGTTTTTGTTATAACAAACTTCATCTAGAAAAAGACTTCAACTATTGAAGAACTTCATGTCAAAAGACTTCAACAACACTGGACAGCTAAACATCAACAGAAGTTTTCTTATAATAAAAATTGAAACCAAATTTCAACAGTAAAGAAATATTTTTATAATTAGAACAGCGTATACCTAAATCATAAGGATAATATTGCTTCTGTAGGTGCTCAGTTGGAGTAGTTCCCATAGAATGATGTACGAAATTTGAAAATACACGAATGAAATTGACAGAGTTTGTAACGGACTAAAACAAAACGCCATTACAGTCAAGGTCGAATATAAAAAAGAATTTATTAAACTTTAACAACCACAGAAAAAAAAACTTTCAAACAATTGTTATACAAATTGTATCACTTACAGAATAGAAAAGTTAATAAATATGTGTTTGCCAGGACTTGATTACTAAAGTTTATGAAAAATACAACATAAATATCAATGATATTAATTATTTTAATAAATAGAGGCATGAGAGGGACCCTAATACCGAAAAAGTGCAATATTCCAAAATTAGAGCTTTTTTTTTCTTTATTAACCCTTTCTCATGGACATAGTAGAGATAAATATAAGCATGCAAATATAATACAGAAAAATACGTAGGATTACTTCAAAGAATTAATAATAATAATAAACAAAGAACTATCGAAACAAACACTCAAAACAGTTAAGTAAACAGTGTAGTAAATTTCATATATACACACACACACAAAAAACACCCTTACAGAAAACTCTTAAGTAAAACTTGGTAAAGGATATAATCCTGAGAACAATGCTCCACGAACTTATCACTGTGGAATACAAAAAAATAAAAACATCCAAGTTACTTTTGTAAGAAAACCTAGAAAAATTTTAAAAAATATCTTCTTTTTTGAAACGCGCTTTAAAACAACATAACAAATGAATATATTAGCCTTTCGCCAAAAGTACCCTCCGCGCATGAAAAATAGACTATTTAGCCAAGGAACTAAAGGTGCGACAATACTGAGTATAAGCCTTAGATATGTCCGTAAGAGAATCCACCAAAGCACATTTCTCACGATCTCTAAGAACATAACCCACCATAGTTGAAATTAGATGAAAAACAAAATTCCACAGTTGCTGAACCAAATCACACTGAAAAAGTAAATGGACAATCGATTCTAACGACACCTGACAAAAGGAACAAGAACCAGTTGGATGCTTGTCCATATGAACCATTTGCTATTGTATGTAGTCTTATTATATATTTATTTACGTTTTAGGGAGAAAAGAAAGAAGGGTAAGGGAGAAAAATAGGATGCATAAAAAGATCTCAAACCGGGAATCATCATTTTCTTCCTCGTCACTGTGTACTTATTTTTAAGTGACGATGTCACAGACTGGGAAAATAATACGTTAAAACTTCCAATAAGTGACTGCTGATTAGGCTAAAATATACTCATACTCAGCACAAGTAGCAGTTTTATATTACGTCATGTAGTGACTAGTAAAACTATCCGGTTTTTCTTTGTACTGCATGCTAACTAGTTATAGTTGCTCAATGTTGCTCTCTTGTTGCAGCAATGATGTAAAAGTACTATTTTTTTTCTCGGCAAAGTTGGGGCGGGGGGGGGGAAGGTGTTGTCTGTAATATAGCAAGAGGGCAACAAGTACAGGTTGGTTTCAACTGGCCACATGTGACGACAACGTGACTTGCGCTTCCCCGTATGTTGATCACGTGCCATGATTTCTTCCCAACCGCCCCAACTCGATGAAAAAGCCAGTAATACGATCGCGCAATCAGTGTCTCGTCAGGGCTCTTTTAATTCGGATTGTGCTTCTTGTTCTTCTCGTCTATCCAGTTTTACAAAAATGATTCTTTGCTTGGGAAAAATTGTGTTCTTCATGTTGCTGCTTATACTGGTACATCTTAACACAAGTAAGTTGGGTTAGCGTATCTAAGTTCCTTTAAACATAGAATATATCATTGTTAATGTTAATTATTATTTATAGGAATACACTTTATACCAAGTATATCTCTATAAAATTTAAAGTTGTATGTATAATTATATTAGTATAATTTCTCTGGATTTCAACAGTCCACAATGTACTGTGAATGTAATGATATGTAGTTGAAATGTAAAACTAAAATACGATTCGGTTTCAGTTTTTAAATTAAACCTTCATTAAGAGGGTCTGAATCCCTTAAAAGTTAGTCTTATTACTACTTCAGAAAGTCTTTAATACAGGGACGAAAATTTCGCCCACCTTTGGATTTGAGATAGATGTAATCCACAGGAGATTCAACACCGTAATTTAATTAATATCTGATTTCCTAAAACATCTTTAAATAACAAAATATTTTTATTATTTTCTTCGTATGTATGATTTTATATACATAAGGAATTCTAAACTATAACTTGGAACTAAACGGCTTTTGATATGTGATAAATACATTGACTATTATATTATATGCTCATTATTCGACTTAAAAGTTTTATCTATGCTAACCGATAAAAATTTTAGGTGAGTTATTTATAGCTCATCCTATACAATGTACGTTTTTTATTTTTTTAACTGACGTAGACTGTTGGCACGAAACCGTTTTAAATCCCCTAGGGTATGTTTTTTTTTATCCTGGGATTAATGGTAATCGTAAATGTGTTTAGGAATGATACTTGTTAAAAGTCATTCCATTATAAATATGTTAACTATATAATTATTAAATTTTCTTTATTTTTAATGTCACACTAAATGAACCATGATTTATTTGTTTATTATAGTCTAGCTGAAATATTGGTTGGGCTTTTTTTTATTCAGTTTTATGACATTAATTATGTTTTCAGTTTTTCAACCTTTTATTATACAGTAGTTACCACAACAAGATGAAGATAATTTACATTGAGTTGTTTTGAATTTCGCGCAAAGCTACACGAGGGCTATCTGCGTTAGCCGTCTCTAATTTAGCAGTGAAATATTAGAGGGAAAGCAGCTAATCATCACCACCCACTGCCAACTCTTTAGTTACTCTTGTACCAATGAATAGTGGGATTGACCGTACATTATAACTCACCCACGGCTGAAAGGGCGAGCATGTTTGATGGGACAGGGATTCGAACCCGCAACCCTCCGATTGCGAGTCAAGCGCCATAACCACCTGGCTTTCACTCTAGTCTTACACTGCTAAATTGGGGACGGCTAGCGCAGATAGCCCTCGTGTAGCTTTGCGCGAAATCCATAGCAAACAAACAAACTTAATCAAGGGCGTCGCTACGAAATTACATGTACGGGTTATTTGAATTCAATCTGTAACAAGTACAGATTTGTATTAATTAAATATATATTTAAAAGGCGGGGTGGAGGCTTTGTCAAATATCTAGCTACGCCCATATTAAACTATTCGGTGATATAAAGATAAGCTCTTATACACATTACGAAGCACCGCTAACTGAAGATTTAATAAACTTTTAATATTGATGCTTGCAATATAAACAGAAGTTAAGTATTTTATGTTAATATTTTCAATAATTTCATATTATTTGTATAAAATTATTACAGCGATACTCTGCATTTTTGTGTTTCCTATGGTATTTCGAGAAATGGATAAATGCAGATAACAGAAAAACAAACTATTATGTTATAGATGTATCACGTGAACTTCCAGTCCAGCATGTATTACTAAGAATCTTTACACAACGTAATTAAGGAATACCACGTGACCGGTTGATATAATATGCATCTCTACCAATACAAAAATAACGCATCGCACGTAGGTATCGTAGAAGCCTTTGTTAAGTTAATTTTCTTTATTCATCCAGCTGCCACCATGGGTAGCCCTTCTAGGACAAACTAATTGTAGCTTCAGGTCCATGCCAAATTGTGCTAGTTAGAAGATACTTATGTAATACATACCCTACATTCATACATACCACATCTGTTATATTCTATTAGAGCAACTTGCTCATAATATATCTACAGAACATTAGAAGTCCATACTGCATTCTTATGTTTGAATAAATCGTTTATTTCACCATGTAACTTATTCTACAGGCTACGACACACGTTTAATATGCCTTATTACAGATCGTGCCTCTCGATAGTTTCGGCGTAAGCTTCAAGACTTATTACACTAGAATGTGGAGTTGGATTCCCGTGGTGATAACACGTAGAGCAGCTCTGCACTAAAACAATTACACAACCATAGCGTATGCTGTTGTTGATCCACAACGGGATAGATGTGTGCGAGAAGTAATTGTTACGACAGCGGAAGTCACGCGACGCTGGGAGCATGCGTGCTGGAATTTCTCGAAGAATCATGAATTTTTCTGGCAACTCAAGTTTGTTCGAGTTGCCCTCTTTTTTAGTATATAAGCCTGGCGAGAAAAACCAGCGCGATTGAAGAGATATAGATAGATCGAAGAGATAGATAATTGAGTCAAGCGAACAGTAGTCACCCTAAGTAAAGTGTGATTTATAGCGTGTGTTGTAAAGGTTAAGTTTAAAGTGACTGTGGAAATTCTGTGTATTACAAAGTTGTAATAAACTAGTTTTAATTAAGAAAAGACTTGTATCGCTGAAGTTCCTTGGAAAGAATTTATACCGGAAAAAAGAAACAATCAGATACGTAACAAATTTGTGTCAGAAGTGGGATGGAAAAAGAATAGAAGATGGAAACCAGAAGTGGCAAATCAAACTACGACTTATCAGATTTGATGGCAGCAATACAAGAACGAGAGAAGAAACAAGAATAGAGGCTAAAGCAGTGGTTGGAAGAGAAAGAAAAGAAACAAGAAGAGAGACTACAGCAGTGGTTGGAGGAAAAAGAAAAGAAACAAGAAGAGAGATTACAGGAGTTGTTGGGAGAAAAAGAAAAGAAACAAGAAGAATTAGAAAATAGATAAGAAGAGAGACTACAGCAGTGGTTGGAGGAGAAAAAAATATACTTGGCTGACATTGAAGACCAATGCATACTAGGGTTGGACTTCTTACTACCAAGGAAGTGTGTAGTAAACTTCGGTAAAAATTACGTTTGAGGACAACAAAGGCCAAATTTCGGTAAGTGTTGCTGTTTCTGTTGATTTGCATGTCACAGCACTTAAGTCAACTACAATACCCCCTATGTCAAAGAAGATAATTTGGGGTAGAATAAAATAACAGCCCCAAGGA